CACATAAGGACACCAATTAAAGTGAGCCCAGGGTGATCTCAGCTGTCAAAGTTTCTGTTTTCGGTTTTATCTCTGCCGTAGCTTGTGGGGGAGTCTCCCCATTTACAAAAACACACCAGCTACGGCAGCATGTTTCATCTTTATAATTCCACCATGAACACACATTCAACAAAACAGCAAACCAAGCTATCTGATCTAGAACAGACACAAAACAGTGTCCTAGCAGCGGAAGTCGTGGTGAGACGAGCGGTCCATTACACGTCCAGCAAGTGTTCACCAGCAAAACTCACGGCCGATTTGGCACCGTATCTCTGCGCTTAGCTTCCATTAACACCGGATCGCGGCTGCTCCCGACGGTGACAGCAAGCTGACCCGCTTCCCACAAAGCTGTCCGTTACGTCTAATAGGGTCAGACCCAGAAGACCAGATGGCCAGGGGGATGAAAACAATTCATTTGTACGGTGGAGGGGAAAAAAAAATATATCACCGTTTGGGAATAAATAGCTGTTTTTTTTTAAAGGAAAGAAAGGTGCGGCTTGACATTTTTCTTCAATTCTGAAGAAGCGAAGCACCTCAAAATAATAAAAAATCCAACATCCGGACTAAGAATAAAAATGTAAAAAAAAAATAATAATAAAATGAGGGAGAACATTTCGATCCGTGGTGTTATTTGTATTTCCATTTACACTTAACTATGATCATTTCTTTTGCAGTGTGGCTTAGATAAAAGGCCATGAGAAAAGACAGGACTTTCTCACATTTCTATTTCCTTTGTATTTCCAAATGAAGTTCAATGAGCAACACTTACTTGTTTGGTGCCATAGGCCCATGTGGAGTGGTTTATGTTTGCACCAACCAAAAAGGTTTTGCGAAAGTGCTCTCCACAAGAAGTTAGCTCAGGAAAACAAGCCAAAGTCTCTTAAAGTCTGACAGGTCCCACAAGCGAACGATGAGGTTCCCACACAAATTAAAGTCAACCGAGTCAAGAGCCCAGCTCCGAGGTCTTTCCTGACAACCGAGGTTATACTGATGTCACCACAAATGTGTCAGGTCTTCAGCAACACCTAAGCAAAGACCAGAAACTTGCTAAGATACCCTGCTCTGCAAACTCTGAATCAATTTTATTGACAGAGCGCAATGTAGGAGAACTTCCTCCACAAGTCATGTGACCCACCGCCACGGTATCACAGTCTGTCTGCATTACGGCGATCACTGTCGAGTGGCAACCCGATGGCCCCTTTACAGCATGTTATCTACTCTTCACTTTAATTGATTCAGACTATCTGCGTATCTCATTTTCTCTTCAAACTAGGCCTCTCATCCCATTAAGAGGCATTTTATATATAGATGTAACAGCACAGTGATGGGAGAAAAACAAAGAAGCAGGTCAAGCATTTTTAAGCACTCCTTGCTCCACATCTGGGGATTACATTAACCCATTTGTGGTAGCAGCAGATGGGAAAACTCACAGACAGACATCACTCCTGCCCCCCTCGGACCAAGATGGGAAAACTCACAGACAGACATCACTCCTGCCCCCCTCGGACCAAGATGGGAAAACTCACAGATAGACATCACTCCTGCCCCCCTTGGACCAAGATGGGAAAACTCACAGACAGACATCACTCCTGCCCCCCTCGGACTAAGCTTCATTACTTCCAGTATTTTCATTTTCCCACCACTTTCCTTATCTGGCCATGAAGAATCATTGCAAATACAAAATGTAAAAAATATATATATAAAAAACATGCAGTAATTAAGGGGATATTAAAACCATTAAGAATTTTGTATGTGAAGAAGATGGCAAAAGGGTTATGAAACAATTTAACTGGTACCTTGGAAAATGGGAGATAATATCAAATTTTCTCTGAAGTTTGTCTGCAAAATATTGCTGATCATATTACATGCTGTGAGATAGAATTTCCAATACTGGATCACTGCCAGGTTGGTCAAAAACACACAAGAAGATGCCTGAAATCAATTAGTAAAAAATTAAATATCCAATCCAAATTAGTACTGTTCTTTTCTATTAAAATGCCCGAAAGGGATTTTTTCTGGATATGCAAACTCTTGTTTTATGTAATATACAAACTAAATTCAGCACATTAACAATTAAGCCTGAATCGTGTTTAAAGAATAAAGAGGAGCCTTTAAAGAGCGAATAAAAACACCTTAATTCCGTTTCACAGACGGTGAGTCTGGGGGTGAGACGATGGGACATGGCTTGTGCTGGTTTGTCATGAAACGGCTCCATCTACTGGTGCTTAGCCATCACAGCGAGGTGTCATCCAGAGAGGGATATGAGGCACAAATGCTGTACAGAGCGTAAGCAATCACCCATCCATCCGAAGAGGCGTCCATGCAACAAAATACTCTTCGGCAAGCATTTCCCACAGCACAGCCAAGGTTCTTCTGTATACGATAATGCTCGTATTATTTTTATTGCTTGGATTATTCTCCTTGCAATAAGCTACAACTACTCAGAAAATAAAAGCAACTCATGAAGGAACTGGAGAAACAGCCGCCTTCCCCCGACCGTGGAAATCACCCAGCCCAGCACTAAATAGGGAGGCAATTCTCTGAAAGCCGACAGGAGAACCATTACGCCTTCCTGGAAATGAATGCATTTTGTAACAAAATCATATGTGGCATGATGGTTACGGCAGATAAGTGAGGCAATCCGGGACAGTAAAAAATGAAACAAAAACCATTCAGAACGTTTCACTGCCATTTGTAGACAACTAATGTTTCAAATGATACATCTAACAATACAGCCAATCATGAACTCTGCCCCCCCCCCCATTTTTGACAATAAAAACAATAAGTGGGTCCTGGTTTTACATGCCATGTGAGAGCAGACTGTGGACCGCGCCTCCACACAGACAGAAGTCAGCTCGCTTCTTCCATTTCAAATGATGACATACAATTTGTTTGAATTCTGTCTGACAAAAAGTCTCTGTAAATAACAAGCTCTTCACACCTAGTATTTGCCTAGGAGAAAAGACACCGGAATAACAGCTATTAATATTGCAGGCCCATATTGGGATTGATCACAGTGCTCTCCTCAGCATGCAGCAAGCACATCCACCTTGATTAGTCGCAGCCACAAGTCGACGCATCTCACCTGCCTGACAGACACCATGTAGATGCTTACACCTAGGGATGTAACTACCCCCCCCCACACACACACACAGTATAAGTACCAGAAGCCTTATAAAAGATACATGCAGTATGGCAAGCAGGTGGTTGCCCCTTTGGGTGTGTCTGTGTGTCTGCATGCGAAAGAGAAACCAGGGAGGGCAGCCACCCATATATTACAATTTTACTCCGCCCATTCAGATTTTACATTTTTTTCTCCGCCCCCCAACCTTTACACTTTTTCTCCGCCCACCCATATATTACAATTTTACTCCTCCCATTCAGATTTTACATTTTTTTTCTCCGCCCCCCCAACCTTTACACTTTTTCTCCGCCCACCCAGACTTTACACTTTTTCTCCGCCCACCCATATATTACAATTTTACTCCGCCCATTCAGATTTTACATTTTTTTCTCCGCCCTCCCAACCTTTACACTTTTTCTCCACCCACCCAGACTTTACACTTTTTCTCCGCCCATTCAAACTTTACACTTTTTCTCCGCCCATTCCGACATCATGCTTTTGTTCCGCCCACCCAGACTTTACACTTTCACCGCCCATTCAGACTTTACACTTTTTCTCCGCCCATTCAGATTTTACATTTTTTTCTCCGCCCTCCCAACCTTTACACTTTTTCTCCACCCACCCAGACTTTACACTTTCACCGCCCATTCAGACTTTACACTTTCACCGCCCATTCAGACTTTACACTTTCACCGCCCATTCAGACTTTACACTTTTTCTCCGCTCATTCAGACTTTATACTTTTTCTCCGCCCATTCAGACTTTACACTTTTTCTCCGCCCATTCAGACTTTACCCTTTTGCTCCACCCACCCAGATTGGCTTAATGAGATTCCTGCACGAAGACACTTTCCAGTTTCCAGGGCATCTGGCACCCGGCTTTCAGGAACAACCCAAAATACAAGCAGTGAGCCAGACGCACATTCCTACAGTCACTGAGTACAGAGTACACTGACCTTTAAGAGTCGGCGTCAAAGTAGATGTTACTTTTTTGGTATACAGTTGGCCCACATACTGACAAGAGGACATTATGGTCTCAACATGTCTGCCGCTCATTAAATAGAACAAAAAAAAGCACAGTGAAAAATTCTAGGCTTAAACCTATTCTGGATAATCTCCACCAACACAAATAATTGGTGGAACCTACCCTTAAAACTTGAAAAATAATAATAATAAACAAAATTTTAAAAACAATGAACAGTGATTTCTCTCTGCGTAAATGTCCTTGACGTGTTTGTATTTTGCTGCTGTTTTTTTTGCTTGCCTTTCTGCCACAAACTGCTTGGATTTTCAGCGGCCAAGGTAGAGAAGAGGTTCTGCATGAGGGGAATCTGGTTCCACATGAATACAAGGTTTTACGGGGACGCAACCCGAGCTGAATAAATCCAGAAAGACTGTGCATGGCCTTCTAAGCTGCCTGGATTCAGCATATCCGTGACTGCTTTCCCTGTGTGGTTATTTACCGCGGTGGGCTGGGTGAGGACAGCACTTTAATTTCCTTTGGGAAAACTCTATGAGCAGGGAAGGGAAAAAATCTCTGCGTAAAGCACATAGGACTCACAACAAAGACACGCTTGGGCAACTCCACAGCTATGTTTTCCTCACGTTCAGTTGCTTAAACATTGCTTTAATCCAAAACAACTTTCGTTTTTCTACCTAATTAATACAGAGAGATGTTTAGATTAATCTGAGCGATTTTAATATCTCACCCGTTGGCAGCGCAGCACAAAGCATTCTGGGAGAGGCTGCCCTCAGGATACATCCCCACTTACTTAGCCGCCGCACTACCTGTTGCTTACTGCAGTTAGTCACTTCCGCAGATGGCGGCTTTCTGCTACCTTGCCGTCTCCGCCGAGGGGAGCTGAGAAGACGTACTCCAGCTGGAAGACGACGCCAAAGGCGGGGTGATTCACCATCTCTTTCAGCTGCAGACGGCTGCGTAGGCCCAGAACCTGACAGCGAGCGCTGGAGCACACAAAGACAAGGCGAGGAGTCAGACTGGTCACAGCGGCGCCCGCTTCTCCGTGGCGCTCCTGCTCGGACCCATTATTCACATTCCCTGGTGGTTTTTTTTCTACCTAACACTACTGTTCATGTACAACCAGTCACTTTCATACAGTTCGGCCCAACTTTGGGAGTCCCTCAGAGAAGACGATTATGTGGGGTTATACAGCTTAGTATTTAGGACAGCAGTGAAACCCAGGTGGTACTTCAGTGACACATTTATAGCAAGGCTCTCCTTCAGTCCAATGATACAGGGGCACATTCGGCCACCGGGCCGTTGGCCGAGGTTTTCCTGCCCACTTAGACACAAAGTGACAAGTGTTACCACGGAGCCGGGCAAATGCTCTGCGCAACAACCACCTAATTACTACCCACGCAGTGCTATTCATGAGACCACTCTCAAACACGGTAATGGTAATGGGATGAGAGCAAGGATATACATCCACCCATTCTAGAATTATCAAATGAATGCAGAATAGTTGTGTGGGGACAACAGAATGGAGCGCAGCCTAATTGTTCAATTCGATAAGGATGTTTAGTCTTTATCGTGGGACTGCAAGTGAGAAATGTGCAAAGTATTATCACCGTTAGGCACTTTTCTGGTACCCTGTCATTACTGTCAGATCTGCCTTTTACAGTCACGGTGACTATCATTCAAAGCAACAATTACCTTGACAGTCACTTGGCTGACAAAGGCACCAAACTTAGGCCTGATGTCGATGCAGTAGACTAGATGACTAATGGTATGTTAGATTTGTGTCAGTTCATGTGTTGTTTAAAAGTGTACATCAAGCTACCTCGTGTAGGTGTTAATCATAACTGAAAACCAAAAAAAAAGTCATTTTAAATGTATGCAAGTAATTTAAAGCACAAACTGCCTCATTTGCAGCTAATAGCATTATCCCGAGGCAGCTGGCTGGATTCTTGGCATTCTCTGGCTCTGTGAGTAAGGAGGGTGAGATGGTGGGGCTCAGAGGAGGGCAGGGAAGATCAAGCGCACCTGGAGCTGCCGAGGGACCCTCGCGGAAGGCTCCCCGTCTGCTGGAGGCCCTTGGAGGCAAGGGGCTCGGGTTCCAGCACCACCACCTGCGGTCGGCTCAGGAAGCCCCAGCCGCTGTGCACCCCCACGTGCAGCCGCCGCTCCTGGATAGTTATGTCCTTCCCGTCTGGGCCACAGCCCCTCTGGACATAGAGACAAGCCCACACTGTCGGACCAAACAGACACAAACCAACCAACCTCAAGCTAGTCACACATTTTCTCCGTGTCAAGATGCACTTTCACACTATGATGCGACTAACACTTTTAATGCGAATTGCAGATGAGTATTGGGGTGACAATAAACTTGTTAGGCTAACATTTCAAAACATCGGATACGTGCATCAGCAGACGTATCTCCTAAAGGAGTGTACAGCAGGTGCTCTAAGAAGCTTGCAATTCAGAATCCAGGGCAGTGTTTGCTTAGGTTTAGCAGGAAACACACTGCAAATAAGATCATTCACATGTTCTGTCAGGGCTAGATATACACACAGGACACTTACATTCCATTTTTGTTTAGAGTGATACAAATCATTTTGGCAAAACAAGGAAACGTGACTATTACATTCTGCAATGTAAGCTGATGCAAAGGGTAGGAAATAAGGTTTAAAAAGAGTGGTGGGGTGATGAAAGAAATAAATATTGCATATTTTGTTACATATACCGGTATGATTGATGTGTCATAAAGCATATTTACCAAGATCCATGTTAATCGCAATTGAATTACTGTTATGCTGAGTCATGGAGACAATAACAAAAAATAAACAAACAATGGGAAACATGCAAAACAACACAGTGATTTTCAGTTTCGTTTGCTATAGCCTTGGCTTGAAGATGAACACCCCACGGCCAATCACGTACCTGTGGCTTGCCGGTGACAAGCCGGGCGGCTTAAATGGGACGCCACACCCAAAGACAAAACAGAAAAAAACGTCCCCCCTCATTCAATCCCTCCATAGCATTAATCAAGGTGACCTCATCTCAAAGAACGCAATTCACAAGAATGAAAATAGAGCCACAGCCCAGCTTGGGTGCACCTCACCCTTCCCGCCTGTTGAAAACTTAATATATTGTATTACTTGGTATAATGTGTATCGAGATGAGATTACTGGGTAACAGCTGAGAGGGAAGAGCATCTGCAGGGTGTTCAGCTCTCTGCTGCAGCCCAGCATGACTGTGGTCGGGACAGACCCAGCACACGCAGAAGAGAATGCAGACCACCCTTCTGGTCGTCTTGCAGTGTGCAAAATTACTTGAATGAGGAAAGGTCCTCTGCCTGTAATCAGACGTCACGCTAAAAACATTAAAAGTCCCCCACGTCCTTCTTTTACATTTGCTGAGGACTGCCGTCATCAGAGATTTGTTTCTCCAAACTAGAATATGAATATTTTACAGCTAAGAGGCTTAAGGGGAACAATGATCTCACCCGTAGTTATATTACACTCCATTTTCGAGCATAAAACCAACAATGAGTTATGCACAGAGACCAGAAGCCTCAGTGACGGTGTATTTCATGCCATTTCCGTGCTAGGAAGCTCCTGTCTCCTGGCGCTATGCATCGCTGGATGGTCTCCATCTTAAACTACAGGCATCCCATAATGTATAGCAGCAGACAGCATCCACATCACATTCTTTTAGAAATAAAAACTAAAAATACATAGTGCCTGTTGTAAATTGAGGCAATTATGAATAAAGCCCTTAAAGAATATGATTTAGCCACAAAGTTGACATTAAAGGCTCATTAATACTAAATTTCAGAAAAACAGAGAAGGAAAAGTTATATGAATAATTGGGAATCAGACACAAGTCTAGTGAATTACACAAATGAACATATATCCATCCATAAATTCACCCACTTTTAAACATAAGTAAATTTCAGTATCGCATGCATAAAAAAAAAACAACAACAAAACCACTGGTTTCACTCATATTTTAGCGCAACTGCCCAGTAACAAGCTAATTAAGAAAATGGAAACGAAAGCACTGATAAGAACCTGCACAGCAAAAAGACTGATGATATAATGGAAATGGCTTAAAATACCCTGATTTGACTGTTCCCATTTTATTCTTATGAATACAAAACGACCCAAGTAAGAGCCAGGAGGGTGCCTTCAGGTGCGGCTAAGCTGAGTATTATGAATTACCGCAGGCAGAACGCCGCCTGGCAATCTACTGGGTACCAGTTCCCTCTCAGGAGAGGCCGGCTGTTACGTAAAGCACCCTTCAGTGAGGAAAGTAACCTAGATAGCTTCAAAGATATACAACTGCAGAAAAAAATGTAAAAAGGGATTAAGCTGATTAAGTCACTTTTGACAAAACTATCAGATTAATGGCCAACAGAGCTCTTTCCAGCATTGTTCTGGGAGATACGTCCTTCAAAGACAATACAAAACTATAAGAATATCCCATAAGTTACCATGTAGCCACCAATTTGTATTATAGTTGAGAAGTGAGTTTAGTTTAGAAACTTTAATATATAAATATACAGATGTAAAAATTTGAGCTGTTAGCACTAGCGGTGTCATTTTACACATCTACACCTACATCACCACCTACCTCATCACCATGAGCTTTTATAATTTAATTTGTACCTAAAAAAAACTGGAAAACTTAATTCATATTAGAGAATGTCCAGGCTACTCAGGAAGATACAAGACAAGAAAAGCTGGAACATCATTTGGGCTAAATTTGGAAATAATAGCCATTACCCATGAAAAGCTGCAGGAGAAAGATTATGGTATTCAGTTTCACAAAATGAAAGGGATTTTTAAAGCAGAATAAAATTGGCTTCTCAAGGTTATTTCTTTGTGTTGAGGAGCCACCGATGAGCTGGGAGGACGGGCGCATTTGATAGGTTGCTGGAGCCTGGAATTCAGTCACATTATTGCGGTACGAAACGGGATTCTGTAATCAGACTGACGTGCAGAGTACAGGGCTGCTTTGGCGACAGATTCCAAATTGCATTTGCAGATCGCGTTGCGACAGACGGGAACGTCGGAATTCCTGTGCGAGGCCTCTCTCTGATTACGAAGGACGCCCATCCAAGCAGACAGCACCTGCGTAAACGCGGCTCTGGATGTGCGTATATCACTCACTGGAGGAAAACAGCAGCTGCTGTGCTGCAGCAGAGGGTCAAACGGCTACTCCGAGACTCAAGGACCCGAACGAAAACACACAGACTGCCTACATACACGGACAGAGCAGCGAGGAGACAGATCCCCGTAGCTCCTTTTCATTTCGGCTGCTGTCACAGACATGCAGTTATACACCCTAACGGGGCAGCAAACAGCATGAAGATTAAGGAACCACACACTCAAATTGCTAACCCTGTTTAGTCGCTTCTCTCATTTATTTATTTATTTTTATTTTCCTCATTTTTATTCTCAATGTAAAGCCTCTAATGTATGAAAGGTGCTATATAAAGATTATTATTATATATTTACAATCAAATGAATTAATACACAGGAAGAAGCACTTTGTGAAAACAGAAGAAAATATTCGGTCATTCACTTCCCATAACCGCTTGTCCTAGGTAAGGTCACGAAGATGCGAACAATGGCTGCAAGGCAGGGAATAACCCTTAACTGCAGCTTAGATTAAAACACGCAACATGTAAATATACTCTGCATAATAGCAGACTGAAGTAAGTAAGAAAAAAATTAAGTAAAATGGCAAAATATGTTGACATTTTAAACTGCAGTGCATTATAATCCGCTTGAGGAATAAACCCGCCCATGGCTGATGACTGTGGAAGGATCCGGACCTTCTCCATCGCAATGTGTGATGATATATTTAAACTAAAAAGGTGGAGTTAGCAGTTCTCACATTTGTTCGTCAGACATGCCCAGGGACATTCTTCCTTTCTGCCCGTGGGGGG